GAAAATTATAAGACACTGAAGAGAGAAATCAAAGAAGATACAAATAAATGGAAATACATACCATGTTCATAGATAGGAAGAATTAATATAGTTAAAATGTCAATACCACCCAAGGCAATATATAGATTCAATGCAATTTCTATCAAACTACCAAGGACATTATTCTCAGAAATAGAACCTATAATCCTAAAATTTATATGGAACCATAAAAGACCCCAAATAGCCACGGCAATCTTGAGAAATAAGAACAAAGTGGGAAGTATCATGCTACCCAACATCAAATACCATACTGTTTGATTATTGTTACCCTATAGTACAGGCTGAGTCTGGGAGTGTGATAACCTCCAGCATTGTTCTTTTTTCTTAGGATTGCTTTGGCTATTTGGGGTCTTTTGTGGTTCCATACAAATCTGATGATTTTTTTGTTCTATTCCTTTAAAAGAATGCCATTGGGATTTTGATGGGGATTGCATTAAATCTGTATATTGCTTTGGATAATATGGCCATTTTAACTATGTTGATTCTTTCAATCCATGAGCTTAGAATGTCTTTCCATTTCTTTGTGTCTTCTTCAGTTTCTTTTTAAAATGTCTTACAGTTTTCAGTGTATAAGGTCTTTCACATCCTTGGTTAAGTTTATTTCTAGGTATTTTATTCTTTATTGCAATAGCAAAAGGAATTGGGTTTTTTTTATTACTTTCTCTGAGATTTTATTGTTAGTATATAGGAATGCAGTGGACTTTTGTATGTTGATTTTGTAGCTGGTACCTTTACTGTATTTGTTTATTGTTCTAATAGCTTTTTGGTGGAGTCTTGAGGGTATTCTGTATATAGCATCATGTCATCTGAAAAATGTGAAAATTTACCTTCATTTCCAATTTGGATGCCTTTTATTTCTTTCTCTTGCCTGATTGCTCTGGCTAGGATTTCCAATACTATGTTGAAAAGCAGTGGTGATAGCAGACAGCTTTGTCTTGTTCCTGAACGTAGACCGAAGGACTTCAGTTTGTTTGTTTTTTTAAAGATTTTATTGGGGAATTGCGGGAGGGGGACAGCGTTGGGGAATCGAGGAACGGGAACAGACAGCTAGACAAATTGGGTTTTGTTCTTCAGTCTAGTTGTGGAGGACGTTGCTTCACTGGCCCATGTTGATATGATCATTGTGCTCTTCCCGGTTGAGGCAATCGGTCGCTGGTCATTGGTCGGCTGCTCACTGCGGCTCACAGCAGCTCTCGCCGGCTGCCAGCTGCTCACACCTGCTGCCAACCACTCATGTAGCTCATGGCAGCCCACTGCAGCCTACAGCAGCCCAGCTCCAGGTCGAGCTGTTGTTCATCATCTTACCTGTAGAGGGTGCAGCGTCACTGGCCCTTAATGTGGGATCCGAACTACGGCCCTGCTGCTCAGAGCTGGTGCTCCCAAGCGAGCTCTTAACGAACTGAACCATTTGGCTGTCCAGGACTTCAGTTTTTCACCATTAATTATATTAGCTGAATGTTTGTTATAAATGGCCTTTATTATGTTAAGGTATTTTCCTTCTATATCCATTTTATTAAGTGTTTTAATCATAAACGGGTGTTGGATCTCGTCAAATGCTTTTTCTGCATCTATTGATAGAATGATTTTTCCTTTTTTTGTTTATGTGGTGTATCTCATTGATCAATTTGTGTATGTTGAACCATCTTTGTGCCTCTGAGATGAACCCCGCTTGGTCATGATTTATAATCTTTTTAATGCATTGTATTTGATTTGCTAGAATTTTGTTCAGGATTTTTGCACCTATATTTATCAGAGAGATTGATCTGTAGTTTTCTTTTTGTGTGTTATCCTTACCAGGTTTTGGTTTCAGGATTATGTTGGCTTCAGTTTTCTGAAGAGTTTGAGTAGGACAGGTATTAGATCCTCTTTGGATGTTTGGTAGAATTCACTAGTGAAGTCATCTGGTCCTGGACTTTTGCTTTTGGTAAGGTTTTGGATGGCCGATTCAATTTCCTTACTATTTATCAGTCTATTTAGATTTTCCAGTGCTTCGTGATTCAGTCTAGGAAGGCTATATGTTTCTAGAACTTTCTTCTAGGTTATTGAATTTGGTGGCATGTAGTCTTTTTAGTATTCTTGGATGATCCTTTGTATTTCTGTGGCATCTGTGGTAACTTTCCCTGTTTCATTTCTGATTTTGATTATTTGTAGCTTTTCTCTTTTTATCTTAGTGATTCTAGCCAAGGGTTTGTCAATTTTATAATCTTTTCAATGAACCAGCTCGTTGTTGCATTAGTTTTTTCTTTGTTCTTTTTGTTTTGTATTTGATTTAGTTCTTCTCAGATTTTTATTATTTCCTTCCTTCTGCTGAATCTGGGTTTTATTTGTTCTTCTTTTTCTAGTTCTTTAAGGTGTAATATGAGGTTGTTTATCTGGGATTTTTCTTCTTTCTTGAGATAGGCCTGCAATGATATAAATTTCCCTCTTAAAACTGCTTTCACTGCATCCCAATAATTTTGGTAGGATATATTTTCATTCTCATTTGTTTCTGTGTATTTTTTTTTTTTAAGGATGGGCGAAGTTCACAGTGGCCCATGTGGGGATTGAACCAGCAACCTTGGTGTTATCAGCACCACGCTCTAACCAACTGAGCTAACTGGCCACCCCCTCTATGTATCTTTTGATCTCTCCCCTTATTTCTTCTTTGACCCAGTCATTCTTTAAAAGTATGTTATTTAATCTCCACATATTTGGTGTTTTTCCTGCTTTCTTTTTGCAGTTGATGTCCAATTTGAAAGCCTGTGATCAGAGAATATATATACTTGATATGATTTCAGTCTTCTTAAATTTGCTGAGGCTGGTTTTATTTCCCAATATATGGTCTACCCTTGAGAATGTTCCATGTACACTATAAAAGAATGTATAGTCTGATGTTAGAATGAAGTGCTCTATAAATGTCAATTATGTCCATTTCATCTAATGTGTCATTTAGGGCTGATATTTCTTTATTTATTTTTTGTTTGGATGGTCTATCCATAGCTGTCAATGATGTATTTAGGTCCCCTACTATAATTGTGTTTTGGTCAATTTCTCCCTTTAATTCTATTAGTAGTTTCTTTGTATATTTCAGTGCTCTCTGATTGGGGCATAAATATTGATCACTGTTATGTCTTCTGGTTGTATTGTCTCCTTTATCATTATGAAATGTCCATTTTTGTCTCTTATTACCTGTTTTATCCTGAATTCTGTATTTTTATCATTTCTGTATTAGTTGTAGGCATATGAATTCTAACAATAGGTTTTAAGGAATATATATGTATATTTGGGTTTATACATGTGTATAATTAGGATGAGGGAATAAAAAGAATGCAAATGATATACATTTATGTATTAAATCCAAAGGATAATACTTGCATAATTGAATTCTTATTGGCGTCTTTGAAGTTTGGAGGTACAAGTTTAAAAGGTGGTGGAAAAGATCTTACATAAATGATAGTAAATGATAATAGAGTTTTATTTTCCCAATAGAAATCTTAAGGGTTTTAATCTAAGAGTTTTATTATTAGCCTTGCTATAGGGTAAATAAGAGTTAGCCCTTAATCCTTCCCGGATAATCATACTTCATGTGTCTAGTCCATTCATATTTGTAGTTCTCTTAGATGACTGTTTCATACCTCTGTCTCCTAAAACCTCCATCACTTCCTCTCCTATCCTTTTTCATCTGATGACCTTGCTGTTTCTTATTTAAAGTTGTATACAGAAAAGAATTTGTACCAGATAACATCACCTACCTCTCTCATACCGTGTATATTGTTTCCTTATACTTACTTAAAAACGTTATTCAAGAAAGTATCCTCCTTCTCTCCTGCATCATCAGTTTTTTTTCCTTTTGAATCAATCATATTAGCGTGCAAACATTGTTAGTTCTCCTAGCTTAGAGCAAACACACACAAACATTTTCACTCTACTTCTTGCTCTTGCCCCATTTTCTTTGTATTCCTTTACAAAGTTGCCTACACATCTACACATTGCTCAATACAGTTACTTTCTTAATGCAGCCTTTCTTGACCAACCTTTTTAAAATTTAATCCCCTTCACTTTGTCACTTTTCCTGTTATTTTTGTCCATAGAACTTTTATTTGTTTATTTTGTTTGTCTGTATTCCTACTCTGCTACCCTGAATGTAAGCTTCATCGGGGCAGACATTTTTATTTTGTCTTTTCACTGCTGTTTCCCCAACACTGAATAGAACCTGGCACAGAGTGGTCATTCAGAAATTTATGTAATGAATTAGTTATGGTTCTGATTTTACTGCCATTGTTTAAAATATTACACATTATGTGTTTGTTAAATTATTCGCTTCCATGAAGAAATAACATTATGGTAAAGTGTGTTTGAGTTTCACATTTCTTAAGAGAGCCCCATGCTAAGTTAAAACTTTATGTTTTGCTACTGATCTGTATAAGCTTATCAACATTAAAGTGTAAGAACCCTAATTAATTTCCCAATTATTCTTGTGCCACAGGTGATACTTATTTCATATAAATACCCACATACAGAACTGAATGTTTATTTACTTGTTTGCATCTGTGCTAGAAATACTTTTAGGAAAGTTGATTTGAGCTACAGTGTAGCTACTTCAGTTAGCTTTGAAATCCATTTCCTATTCTTCAAATGAATATTAGAGATCTCAATTTTTAGCAGTAATTTATTTTCAAATATAAAATCTCAGATCTTACAGGAATTGTTTAAATTCTGGAAATATATGACTTAAGCAAGTACACTATACAAAGTAAGTATGAAGAGGTTAAGATATTTCCTGTAAACATAAAAAATAGCTATTTTTAAAGACATTTCCCAAATTGATGGGAAGGAAAACACAACTATCTGGTAGTGGAACCAGAAACTGCAATTATTATGGGGAAAATCCTAACTAAGAGGAACTAATTTATGACAGTCACAGAAGTTAGTTCAGTAGTAAGCGCTACAGATGGCTATTGGAGGTTTAAGACTGTAACCCTTCTGCATCGACATCCAGTACCTTCTCATTAGGAGTGTGACTATTGTGAGGGCTCTTTAACTTTACACAGGAAAGTGACTGGAAATATCATGGTCTGTAGTGGGAGTATCTCAAATACAGCAAATAAAAATCATTGTTATATATGAGTAAATGTTTCATATGATGATTATAGGTTTTACCTATATTGATTCAAATAATGTATAACTGATTTATATTAACCAATGATTCTAGAAAGCCAAAGCCAACAGGAATAAGTAAAGCACAAAAGCATTTAATTATCTAGTAAAATGATTGTAGATATTTTCTTGTTGTATGATCTTCAGGAAAAGAGCTTATTTTCAAGTTTAAACAATAGAACATTCCAGAGCTGTGAAATTTGGATGGGTGGAACCCAGTAAATGAGCTTATACATGAATATGCTTATAAAAATAGGTATCCAAGTTCTATCTCTTTACTTTATATAAGTACTCATATACATCTTGAAAATTCCTTAGTGCTATCTCAATTTTTGTTTGCATTTTTGTTTTAGCACCTGAAAGTTTCTGTTCCTGATGAAATATCAGTAGATCTCGGTAAGTTTGGAGTACCAATATCCTGGAGAATTCGATCTTTGTAAATATGTATTTCAGCTCATTTCTAAAGGTTTTATCTGTCACATGGTGACTAGTAGATCATCTGAATTGCAACAGAGAGTCTATAATACATTTAAGGGTAAATGAAACCTGAATTCTGAGATGAAATACATGAATTGAATTGAAGAACCTCTTTGTCTTGCTCCAAGATAACTGCACCAAATAGCATTGGTATGTTGCCAGTTATAATGCATAGACTATACCTCTAGATCAAGTAATCCCTTCCCTTTTCTTTTTGCAGAGAAAAGAAGGCCTGAGCTTATTCCTGAAGATCTGCATCGCCACTATGTTCAAACCATGCAAGAAAGAGTCCACCCAGAAGTTCAGAGGCACTTGGAAGATTTTCGGTAAACTTGGTGATAGATAAAAGCTGTTATAGTTATTCTGAATTAATTTTCTTTTTCGGTAGGAAAAGATTACACATTAAATCCTTGGCTTATCATATGGTTTTTATCACTGTTATTAAAACATAGTGAACACCTAGAGTCAAAATGTTGGAGTGGTACTGAGAGTTCATAGTTCCTATTCCATATGACTTCAGGATTTGAGCTCAGCACTATGTACTAAGTATGTTCCTTCAGGATATGTGTTCTGTTGAGTGCTTGCTTCTAGAATTTTTTTCCACTGGTGTCCTAGGTGACATAGGCCCCAAAATAGAAAACTGGGACATTTTGTCTGTTGCTAGAAACTCATAGCTATGGAAACTCTGATGAAACATCTCCAAAGGGAGATAGTTTTTCTCTAGGCTGTCTCAGAAAATTTCTCCTTTTCCCTTTAGGCAGAAACGGAGCATGGGGCTGACCTTGGCTGAAAGTGAACTGACTAAACTTGATGTAGAGCGAGACAAGGACCGGGTAACTTTGGAGAAGGAACGGGCATGTGCAGAACAGATTGTTGCCAAAATTGAAGAAGTGTTGTAAGTAATAGGAGTATATGTATAAATGTCGTCCTCTACTGAGATGCTAATTATGCTGAAAGTACGGTCTGAACAAATTGTGTATGTGGAAGCAGTTATTTTGTCATAATACTTGAGAAACGGATTGTTTATTTGTGCTGTTTCATTTTAAATAAAGTTCTTGAGTTTCTTTTTCTGGATATTGGTAAAATGAGTAACTACAAAATTTGTAACTGATCAAAAACATATTGAATACTTTTTATTGGTTTCAATTCATAGGCTTTGGAAATTTTTCTAGCTATAAAACATTTGTAGTTGATGACATGAGTGTAAAAAACATGTAGTTTCTTTGGGAATAAGAGATTTTTTGGAATTTTATTCCATGTGACAGAGATTTAGGTGGGTCCCAAAGCATTCGGCCCTATTTTATTGTTTCAGGTACATGAGTTTAATAGCAACTCTTTTATTAAACTTTAATATTTTGTTTTTAAATGTTTTTATATTTAGGATGACTGCTCAGGCTGTAGAAGAAGATAAGAGGTAATATAACTTTTTTCCCTAGAATTCTAAGAAAAAAAGAAACTACTTTTTCTCTTATCAGTCCTAAATTATGTTTTATTTACTTTAACTTAAAAAATTTAGGCTGTCTCCCTCTTGTGGCTTATGGTTTATTTGACTAATAGTCTAGTGTCTCGACTAGAATCCTTTTCTGTTTGTAATGAATAGATAACTCCTTATTTTTTATTTGATGAATGAATTCTAAGAATTCCATCACTGAGGTTTTGGAAGTGATTTGCCAACTTTATTCTACCCACTTTCCTGTTTCAGAAGTCTTATTTTACTTAATCCTTTCTCCTCCAGTTCAACAATACAGTATGTTATTTTCATGTACATGAAGCATTTGGGGGTAAAAGTAAAAGAACCTCGAAATTTGGAACACAAGCGGGGTCGGATTGGATTCCTTCCAAAAATCAAGGTAAGACTAGAATAATAATAGTATGTTCAGGTTTCTGTACTTCTTTACATTTGATTGCAGTGCTTTCCTTCTTAGTATTTACCTTTTCAGCAAATTAGTGCTGGACAGTCTAATAGGTATAAGATACGGTCCCTGTTCTCAAGGAACTCAAAATCTAGTGAGAAATCCAGATATTTGAACTAATTATTAGACAATACGAAAAGTGAAAATGATTTACACAGAGGGCTACTCCCAACTGTGTTGTGGCCTTATCCTTTTCTTTTATGGTACCTGTCACAGTTTGTCATTGTGTTTTTGTTTAATTTTTGTTAGATCATAAAGCTCTATGAGGGCAAAAATCTCCATCATTGTATTCCCAGCTTTTAGCATAATGCCTTCACACATTATGAGCTTAGTAAAAATTTGTTCATGGGATAAATGAGTTGTTTGTTATAAAACTAGCTTTTTATTTTCCAAAATTATCAAACTCTAAAGTTGATATCTTTGAAAAGGTATCTTGAGTTTGGTGTGTACTTAGTCCTATCTGCTAACTTCTAACGAGCACTGTGTGTGTGTGTGTGTGTGTGTGTGTGTGTGTGTGTGTGTCTTTCATTTACATTTAGCCAGTTTCTTTCAAATGACCATTAGAATTGCATTTCTATGTTTGAAAGCAACAAAAGAAATCTATGTTATGTATCTCTTATCTCTTCGATTGTAATTCTACTCCAGCAAAGTATGAAGAAAGATAGGGAAGGCGAAGAAAAAGGGAAGCGAAGAGGATTCCCCAGCATCTTGGGACCCCCAAGGAGGCCAAGCCGTCATGACAACAGTGCAAGTATGTTGAAGTTTGAAATGCTGCATTCCTACCATTCCATGCCGCCTTTCATTAGAGGCTCATTTATCTAAAATGAATTACTGGAGAAAGGTGTTCTAGACATGATTCCACTGAACTTCCAATGTGCCTTGCTTTCATTCAATTATATTTCTAAACTAAATTCCCCTTGTGGCTACATAATTGTCTTAAACATCCTCTTTAATGGCAGTAGAGCAGTCCATCAGTTATCCATAACATAATTTATTTACCTATTCTGATTTTGTTTGCATTCAAGTTTGATTGTTAAAAAAAAAAAGTGTTCATGGATCTCTTCACCATACTTTGTTTAATCTCTTTATACATATATCACTTACTCTTTCCATAATTCTACATTTCTTCACCTCTGTTCTTTGTTTCCTCATCTCCCTCCACCCTAAGGCCTAATAGAGAGAGATCAGCCCACTAGAGAAGGCTGCGGGAGAAATAGGGATGATGGTACTATGGGGAAGAAGCTAGCTCATCTAGTGGCCCACAACTCAGGCAGTACTACATTCAAATATATTGGCATAGTTGGAATGGGGATGGTGTTGTGATATAGTGATGCTGAATGTCCTACACAATGAGGAATTCTCCCTCAAATGCCATTAGTGCCTTTGTTGAGAAACACTGAGAAGATGAAGGAAATTTTTAGAGAAGTTGAGGAGATGTAGCATTTCACAGATGCTGACCATGAGTTCTAAGGAATACAGAAAAAGAATTTTTAGAATTAAGGAAGGAAGAATTTTAGGATTAGTGATATACAAAGCTGTGTGAGGAAGTACAGTGCTATGGGGGATAATGACCTGAGAATTTTTAACTTCTTGTGGTGACTGATGTGAATAGGGATAATGAGCAGGATAGGAATTAGTCTGAGTGGTCTCTGAGGCATATTGTGATGATGAAGTTGTGAGTGCTAGGGAGAAGTGAGAAGATTCTAAGAGCTCGCAGAGCTAAAAGGCTTCTTTTTCACTCTTATAAATGAATATAGCTCCGTATGTATCTTTGTTTTAGCATTCCCTCTTTCCCCACCTGCCATTGCTCTCCTCATCTCCTTTTCTCATGATTCATCTTCCTTTACTCCTTTCTCTCTCCCTCATCTTCCACCATCTCCCTCCTTTATCTTCTTTTCTCCTCCACCTTCGTCTGCCTTTCTCCCTCCTTTCTGTTTCATTTTTCTTTCTATCTTCTCTTTCCTTTCCTTTTTCTTTTTTCCTCACTCTAATCAATAATCAATCTTAAATTTTTCTAGGGCCCACCATGTTTCAGACATTTTTGCAGATCCTTTACATTATCTTTTTTTTAGCTGTTTTGCAACACAAATTGTTGACCATTTCTTTCTGTTCAGTTGGCAGAGCCATGGAACTTCAGAAACAGCGCCACCCTAAGCACTTACCCACACCCTCATCTGTGAGTCCTGAACCCCAGGACTCTGCTAAGTTGCGCCAGAGTGGGTTAGCAAGTGAAGGAGCAGACATTGGATACCTGGCAGCCAATCCCATGTCCTCTACAGTTTCAGGGGCCACTCTTTCCCAGGAAGGAGGAAAAGAGAATGATATGGGTGAGCTGTAGTTCAACTTAACTATGTAGCAAGTTTTTAAAACAATCACACTAAGAAACAGCACAGCAGATTATTATAATCAAGACTGAATCCCAGTTAAATTTAGTTTTAACATTTTGATTTTCTACCACTAGTGACAAATCTATGCTGAACGGTAACTTTAAGTTCTCATCCATTCAGAAACACTGAGCTTTCTGTTTGGCATTAGCTTCATACCAGATGTTAGCATACAATAATTATACATAGATTCTTGCCCCATGCACTTAGTGTCATGGAAAGATAGTTACACACTCTTACAAATTCAAATTGTGCTAAGTCTAATAAAGGAAATGTAAAGGGAGTATTGAGGGGACTAGTCAGTAGTTTGGATTCTAAAGAAAACTTTAAAAATGAGAGATACTAGAAATGGTTTTTAGATGCTAAGGGGAAACCAGTTGTGAAGGAGAGGTTCTTCAAATTGCAGGAAATTAACTACAACAAATAGAACAAAGTTTTGAGGAGAGAGGAGATGAGATGCAGAGCATATGAGATATGACAGTTAAGTTCGCAAACTTGTCACTGTGCACTTACGTTGGCAGCATTGTACAAACAGCTCGGTAAGGTTTCATAACCTTGGTATATCAGTATCTCACAGCTGTGTTTGTGTCGACGTGTGGGAATGTCTTACTGAGTGCCTTATTGTTGTGTGTTTTTGTGTGCTGTTGCGAGAATGTCTGAGCTTGAATTAGAGCAACAAACAAACATTAAATTTCTTGTTAAACTTGGCAAGAGTGGAAGTGAAATCAGGGATGTGTTAGTCCAAGTTTATGGGGATAATGACATGAAGAAAATGGCAATGTACAAATGGACTAAACGATTTCTGAGGGGAGAGAACGCATCACTGATGAAGAGAAGTCAGGGCGGCCAGTAACAAGCAGAACTGATGAAAACAATGCAGACATTTGTTGAGTTGTGTGTCAAAATCGTCGGCTGACTGTGAGAAGCATAGCAGACCAAGTAAACATCGATAGAGAAACAATTAGGAAAATCTTGGCATGGGAAAGGTGTGTGCAAAAATGTTCCCGAAGGAGCTCACCGATGAACAAAAGCAAAGGAGAGACGAAGTTTGCCAAGACCTTTTGGAGAGGCAAGACAATGTTTTGGGCAGTGTTCTCCCTGGTGATGAAACACGGGTGTACCAATATGACCCTGAAACAAAGTGTCAAAGTGTACAATGGAAGTCAGCCAATTCTCCATGACCAAAAAAGTTCTTTCAGCCCAAAATCAAGAGTCAAACGATGTTGCTAACCTTTTTGATGTCCGAGGGATTATTCATTATGAATTTGTGCCAAGTGGACAGACAGTTAACCAAGTTTACTATTTGGAAGTGCTGAAAAGTCTGCATGAAAAGTTAGATGAAAACAGCCTGAACTTTTCGCCAGTAATTCATGGCTCTTGCATCACGACAGTGCACCAGCTCACACGGCACTGTCTGTGAGGGAGTTTTTAGACAGTAAACAAATAACTGCATTGGAACACTCTCCCTACTCACCTGATCTGGCCCCCAATGACTTCTTTCTTTACCAGAAGATGAAGGAAATATTGAAAGGAAGACATTTTGATGACATTCAGTACATCAAGGGTAATCCGACGACAGCTCTGATGGCCATTCTAGAAAAAGAGTTCCAAAATTGCTTTGAAGGGTGGACTAGGCGCTGGTATTGGTGCATAGCTTCCCAAGGGGAGTATTTCGAAGGTGACCATAGTGATAATTAGCAATGAGGTATGTAGCACTTTTTCTAGGATGAGTTCGCGAACCTAATTGTCAGACCTCATATG